GTGAGTCCGTAAGTAACAAGAGAGTAGAATGTAGGAAATGGATTTTAACCATTCACTTATGGACTTACTTTATGCTGTATTATACCGGAAAATCAGCTTACTCCTGATGTGTCTCATGCGGGGTCTACAATAGAAGTCGTAACAATCGTAGAGTCTTAAGTCATAGAAAATTGACCAATCACAGTCGAATATGAGAAGAATAATCAACTGTGATTGGTCAATTTTCTATGACTTAAGATCCTATAACCGCTACGACTTCTATTGTAGACCCCGCATCACAACCTTACCACTATTGCTACTGCTCATTGTAGACGGTCCTTTAATATGCCGTCTACAATGAACAGTAGCAGTAGAGATTGTAAACATGTCGGGAGTAAGCTGGTTTTCCAGCTAAGCCATTAATGGTTAGTCAATGAACGTCAAATCGATGTTAACTCAATGTCGATTGACGTTAATTCTATATTGATCGTTCACTTGTAGCTAGGGATGTAGTAACAGAGCATAGAGTAAGTGAATTTCAACCATTTCGTTTACAGACTTACTCTACGCTCTGTTACATCCCTAGCTACAAGTGAACGATCAATATAGAATTAACGTCAATCGACGTTGAATTAATACCGACTTGACGTCCAGCGACGTTGAATCAACATCGATTTGACGTTCATCGACTAACCATTAATGCGGGGTCTACAATAGAAGTCGTAGTAGTCGTAGGATCTTGAGTCGTAGAAAATTAACCAATCACAGTCGAATATGAGAAGAATAATCAACTGTGATTGGTCAATTTTCTACGACTTAAAACCCTACGACTTCTATTGTAGACCCCGCATAATGGCTTAGCTGGAAAACCAGCTTACTTCCGATATGTTTACAGTTTCTACTGTTCATTGTAGATGGCTTATAAGGGCCGTCTACAATGGCAGTAAGCAGTAGTGGTAAGCCCATTCTACAATTGCATAAGCATAATCATAAGTGGTTGTAAGAATTAACTATTCACAGTCGAATATTTTCTTCATATTTGACTGTGATTGGTTAATTCTTACGACTACAACCAGGGTTGGCAAACGTTACTTTTCAGTTACTTTGTCGTTACTTTTTATAGTAAACAATTTGATGACGATGTTGCAATTTTTTATGACGATAACGCTAACTAACGCTAACTAAACGCTAAGGTTGTACTAAAGTTAGAAAAGTCACTTTAAAAAGTAACTTGTCACTATTATGCGTTACACCGAAAAAATTATAAGTATAACGAGTAACGTGTAACGTTACTCGTTACTAAAAAGTAACGCGTTACAAATTAGGAGTTATTTTTTTCAGTAACGAATGATTTTTTCAATCCATTATAAGTAACGATTAACTTTTCTAACTCTGATGTTAGCATTACCATCATAAAAAATTCACAATGTTATTATCAAATTGTTATTATAACAAGGTAACGATCAACAAAGTAACGGCGTTACAAGTAACGCGTTACTTGCCAACCTTGACTACAACCATTTACAACTATGCTTACGCAATTGTAGTTGAAGCCTTGTGTCCATGATGCTAGAAGTCGAGATCTCGGACAGAGAAAGAATTAACAAATCACATTTGAACAATTTGGTCACATGACCAATGCGATTGGTCAATTCTTTCTTCACCCGAGGTCTCGGACCGATTTCTAGCATCGCGGCTTTAGACATATTGGGAATAAACTAATGGCGAATTCGATTGGAAGAACTAGTGCGCACTGATGCATATTAAAGCCGTTGTACACTATTTTAATTTAAGTATAAAAATGAAATGCAAATATTTCGAATTATGAAATACATATTTTACCTAATAGTACAATAAAATGTATTAAGTATTTCACGATTTAATCGATCTCTATGTTTATTTATAAAGATATCTTTATGTTATTTCGTGTACGACGACTTTAATGTGCACCAGTGTGCACTGAGTGCGTCCAATCGAATTCGCTATAATTTTCCAGTATAAGGGCCACTGTCACCAAGCTCAGTTAACTTAACTGGCCAGTTAGTCCATCGGAATTGACATCGGAATTGATTTGTTTGAAGCAAACAAAATGACAAATGCGATTGGTCAATTCCGATGGACTAACTGGCCAGTTAAGTTAACTGAGCTTGGTGAGTGGCCCTAATACAGTATAAAGTAAGTCCGTAAGTGAATGGTTGAAACCAATTTCCTACGTTCTACTGTCTTGTTGCTTACAGACTTATTCTATGTCATATTATACTGGAAAATCAGCTTACTCCCGATGTGTTTTACAGCCTTACCACTACTGCCATTGTAGACAGACCTTTATAGGCTGTAACTTACAGCATAGTAATACATATATGCTTACAGCCAATCAATGCAACATTTTATGAAGCTTGTACCTTGCATGGACAATTGTTTTCTTTGTAAATTATTGTTCGAGAACGGCAGGAATCTGTTCCCTTGCTGAAGCGAGCTCATTTTCACGAGGTTCAGCTCATTTACGTGGATTATTGTTAGATCTCGTCTGAAAGCAAAAGAGCATGAGATCGAGGAAGTATTACAACGTGAAAGAGCGAGGGATGAAAGACGGAGACAACCGGGAGAAAACCGTTTAAATGGGGTACCGCGCGTGCGGAAGTTCCATCCAATTCTACTTAGAGGGAGGGGAGGAGGAGGAGCATCCGAACGGATTCTACGGGGTTGATAAGTCGCGCGAATATAAACAATGAGGATCGTCGTATCGTCATCGGGGTGTATCTGCCAAATCAGTGGCTCACGCGGGGAATCTCGCTCGCTCTCGGAAATTGAAATGCGAACGCGCCGCGTCGGCGACGGGCAACCTGGACCAAGGCATTCGACTTATCTGCAATTTACTCACTTCGGTGCGAAATTATGGGAGCGGAGCTGATTATCCGTGATTATTTTCGATAAATTAGTACACTCCACTTGTCCGTATAGGAGAAATAAAAAAAGAGCTGTTTGTCGCATTCCTCATCAGATTGCGCTATCGGCCGTCTAGAGTTCCAATCGAGTAATGCGGGGTCTACAATAAGGATAAAATCACACGGTGCGCTATTCGGAATAGCCCTGATTGGTTGCTTCAATGACGCATTCTCTATTCCGCAGTCTTTTTCCGCACCGTGTGATTTCACCCTAAAAGTCGTAGCGGTCGTAGGGTCTTAAGTCGTAGAAAATTGACCAATCACAGTTAATTATTCTTCTCATATTCGACTGTGATTGGTCAATTTTCTACGGCTTAATGCGGGGTCTACAATAGAAGTCGTAGCGGTCGTAGGGTCTTAAGTCGTAGAAAATTGACCAATCACAGGCTGCGTTCAGCAGAACGTTTGTTTTGCAACTGTTGGAAGTTTCCTTCACGCTAATTGGATCATACTTTTAGATCTAGAAGAATGGTCCTATCTCAGCAGACAATCATAAAACGGTTGCAAAACTGTTGAGTCTGCTGAACGCAGCCACAGTTGATTATTCTTCTCATTCGACCGTGATTAGTCAATTTTCTACGACTTAAGACCCTACGACTTAAGACCCTACGACTTCTATTGTAGACCCCGCATCACACTACGCATTGGAGACTGATGCGGGGTTTACAATAGAAGTCGTAGAGGTCGTAGGGTCTTAAGTCGTAGAAAATTGACCAATCACAGTTGATTATTCTTCTCATATTCGACTGTGATTGGTCAATTTTCTACGACTTAAGACTCTGCGATTGTTACGACTTCTATTGTAGACCCCGCATGAGGATTGCGAATTGAGGATTAGAATTCAGCCAATTAGAACGAAACGGATTAAACTTAAAATTACCTGATTGGTCGAATTCTAATCCTTAATTCGAATCAAACTATGAATTGAAGATTGAGGTTGAAGATTGAAGATTGAAATTTGACCAATAAGGACAAAGAAATTTTAGGTCCTTTCGTTTCGATTGGTCAAATTTGAATTTTTCAATCTTCAATCTCAATCTTCAATGCGTAGTCTGGGGACTTATTAATACATAAATATTTCCTCTAAAGAAAATTGATACGATTCGTTTAAATATAATTTTATATTACTTTGTCTTATCTTGTTTGACAGTTTAAAGGCAGTTTCATAGCATGTTTAGTACCTTCCCTAGTACCTTTGTCATACTGACTTAAGCCGGTTGCGCCTCTCTGATAAGTCTAGGACTCTTAAGATGCTAATACGGCTCTCTGATTAGTTCATGCATTAGCTTGAGTCCATCTCGAATCTTGAGCACCGTCTATTGCTGGATTCACACTGCATCCGATTTTCGTCGTACGACGCTCTGCATCCAATTAGAAAACAGGATTCCGATAATACGAAGCAAAAT